GAAAGGGAATGGACTGACTATTCTTGGGGGGGAAAGGGGTGTGGGAGATGCAGGAAGAGACTGGACAAAAAATCCTGCACCTATGGATGAGGACAGTGGGTGGGGAGTGAGGGCGGAAGGTGTAGCGGGAACTGGGAGGAGGGGAGTTATGGGGGGAAAAAGAGGAACAAATGTAATAATCTGAACAATAAAGATTTAATTTTTAAAAAATAAATAAATAAATAAATAATAAATTATAGTATTTGGAAATTAACCTTGACACAATGTTCAAATTTCCCATTTAGTTTCACTGGTTATGAGACAATGTGGGAAGTATATACACCTGTGTTTAAAGGGAAAAAGTATAGCTCAGATTGAAAGACAGACACATATCAAAAGTAAAGGAATGGAAAAGGCATTTCATGAAGATGAAAACAAAACAAACAAAGCTGTGGTAGCAATACTTATACCAGACAAAACAGACTTAAAACAAGAGACAAAGAAGGACTCAGCCAGCAATTCCACTTCTAGGAATTAATCCAAAACATTAATTTGAAAGGACATATGCATCCACATGTTCACTACAGCATTATTTACAACTAGAGGCCCATTGCACGAAGAGATTTGTGCAATAGGCCTTCCTTCCCCTGGCTGCTGACACTGGTTTTCCTCCTGCACCAGGGACCCAGGCCTTTGGTCCCACTGCAGTGATGCTTGGCTTCTCTGCTGCGGCCCCAGCGAGGCTCTTCAGTCTTCAGGCTTCAGTCTTCAGTCTTTAGTCTTCACTCCAGCTGGAGCCTTCAGACTTCAGTCTTCAGTCTTCAGTCCACCCAGAGCCTTCAGTCTTCGCTCCGCACCTGCATATGCAAATTAATTGCCATCTTTGTTGGGTTAATTTGCATACTCATCCAATTGGCTGGTGGGCGTAGCGGACTGACACCAATTTGCATGTTTCTCTTTTATTAGTGTAGACTAGTGGCCTGGTGCACAAAATTCATGCACTGAGGGGTGGGGTTCCCTCAGCCCAGCCTGCCCCTCTCACAGTCCTGGAGCCCAAGAGTGGATGTCCTACTGATGGCCACAGTCTGGCAGCAGAGGCTCGGAACAAGCGTCCCATGTGTGTGTCTGTGTGTGTGTGTGTGTGTGTGTGTGTGTGTGTGTCTGTCTGCTAGGACCTGCCCCCAGCCGCGCCATGTAGGCTCGAAGCAGTTGCCGTGTGTGTGTGTGTGTGTGTATGTGTGTGTCTGCTGCACACCATGGAGGCTTGGAGCAGGAGCCCCTCTGTGTTGATCTCTCAGGCTCCTGGTCTCCACTGCATGTTGTACTCTCCCTTGAGCTATGGCCAGGATAGGGGTGCTGCTTGCAAGCTGGGCTTTCCTGCTCCCGGATTGCCATGGTGACCGGGGAGCAGGCTAGGCTTGGAGCTGCCCACAGGCCTGGCTTGCTCTCCTACTCCCGGATCCCCATGGCGACCAGGTAGCAGGCCCATCTGGGGGCTGTCCACAGGCCAGGCTTTCCTGCTCCAGTTTCAGGCCCAGCTTGGGGATGCCCGCAGGCCAGGCTTGCTTTCCTGCTCCTGGATCCTCATGGCGACCAGGGAGAAGGCGCAGCTGGGGGCTGCCCGTAGGCCAGGCTTGATTTCCTGCTCCCGGATCAGGCGCAGCTGGGGGCTGCCTACAGGCCACACTTTTCTACTTACCAATGGCCGGATCACCACAGTGACCCAGGGCCCAGCGGCACTTTCCTGCTCTCCAATAATCATAGGGTCCCGGCTGGGGGCGGGGCTTAGCAGTGTGGGGCTTAGGTGGCACGGGGGTCCCTGCTGGGGGCTCAGGTGGCACACAGGGGTCCCAGCTGGGGGCGGGGCTTATGCCCCACTGCCCAGGGCTGCACATGGGTCCCAGATGGCAGCTCACACTGTCCCACTCTGCCTGTAGTATAGGATAGAGGCCTGGTGCACAGGTGGGGGCCAGCTGGTTTGCCCTGAAAGTGTCCTGGATCAGGGTGGGGGTCCCGCTTGGGTGCCTGGCCAGCATGGATGACAGGCTGAAGGCTGTTTGCAGCTGGTCACACCCCCTTCAGGGTGGGGGTCCCCACTGGGGTGCCTGGCCAGTCTGGGTGAGGGCCTGAGAGCCGCTTTCAGGCTGGAGGGCAACTTAAGATCCCAGCCTCTCCTTTTTTTCTTTTTTCATTTATTCTGGGATTTATTTACCTTCTATAGCTGTCACTGGAGCTGAGAGCCAGCTCCAGCTCTGAGGGCTGAAAGCAGGTTTCTGGGTCTGTTTGGCTTCTATAATTGAAATTCTGTTGCCATCACAGCAGCTCTAAGCTCTGAGGCCGAAGCTGGCTGAAAGCAAGTTTCTGGAGCTTGTTTAGCTTCTATAATTGCAACATAGTTGCTTAGAGTGCAGCTCAGAGCTGGGCTGCAGCAGACGGGGAACCTTGGCTTCCTCCGTCACTGGAGCAAGCAAGCCTCCTGTTTGCTTCAGCTGCGTGGCTTCCGGCCGCCATCTTGGTTGGCAGTTAATTTGCATATCCTGCTGATTAGCCAATGGGAAGGGTGTCGGGGTTATGGTCAATTTGCATGTTTCTCTTTTATTAGATAGGATAGCCGAGATGTGGAAGCAACATTAGTGTCCATCAATAGATGAATGGATAAAGAAGTGATGCACATATACAAGGAATATGACTCAGCCATAGAAAATAATGAAATATTGCCATTGGCAGCAACATGAATAGACCTAGAGGGCATTATGCTATGTGAAATAAGTCAGACATAGAAAGACAAATACCATATGATTTCACTTATATGTGGAATCTAAAAAAAAAAAAAAAAAGTAAACATGCACTGGCCAGTGTTGCTCAGTTGATTTGAGCAATATCCCATTCACTGAAAGATCATAGTTCAATTTTTGGTCAGGGCACAAATGGGAGGCAACCAATAGATGTTTCTCTCTCACATTGACCTTTCTCACTCTCTTTCCTTATCCTTTCCTCTCTCTCTAAAATACATTTAAAAATAAAAAACAAAACAAAATAAACAAACAAAACAGAAACAAGCTCATAGATACAGAGAACGTTTTGATGGTTGCCAGATGGGAGGCAGGTGGTTTGAGGGATGGGTGAAAAAGGGGAAGAGATTCAGAAGTACAAATTGGTAATTACAAAATAGTGACAGGGATGTAAAGTACAGTCAATCATATTATAATAATTATGTAAGATGTCACATGGGTACTAGATTTATTGGTGTGATCATGCCGTAAGTTATATAAATGCCCAATCCCTATATTGTACACCTGCAACTAATATAATATTGTATGTGAACTGTAACTAAGAAATAAAAATTATGTTTAAAAAAAGGGAAGAAGTATGAAAAAAGAGAATCAGTGTGAGTGATGGCTGTCTTGAGACAGAAGATGGTAATATAGACCTTAGAACTAGAAATATGTTTTAAAATAACTAGTTCACTGTCTTCATGTAACAGATGAGGACTCTGAAACTCAGTGAGGCTGCTGATTTGCTCCCTGTCATGCATCTTATTTGTGGCTGTGCAAGGCCTAGACTTCAGAACTTCTAACTCACCAACTCATGCCTTTTCTTTTTTTCAAGTCACTCCCTTTATACTTCTTTATACTTTCTTCTATGTAGAAGAAAACATTCCTTCAACATTCCTTCGTAGATTGCTTTATATGCTATCTAAACAGCATATGAGTTCCTCAATGATTGAAATTTTTTCTTTGCATCTTCATACCCTGGTGCTCTAACAAAGTTCCTGCATTGGAGTAGTTGCTTGAAAGTCTTTCTTTAATTAATAACATGCCCTAGTATATTTCAGTGTCGTTGCTGGAATATCTTCTGATACTGTGCCATATTAGTACACCAAGGCAGAGCTCTACATGCACATCACAAACTGAGTCCTCATGAATCCTGAAGAGGAGATTTAAAACACAGACAATGGTGTGAAGACATTGAGAAACAGACTTTACATGATAATTCCTTCTCCTACACCCAGTAAATCTCATTTCTCCACATGTGAGCAATTCTTTCAAGAGCTATACCCTTTTGAGAGTATAGACACAGGCTTTGCTTGATTAAGAATAAGGAGAAAAAAGTTATTGGCCTTGTTGGAGAAAAGTAAAAGAGTCCTATTTATAGACTTTTCATTATTTGGTACTGACATTTAAAATACTGTGGTCTTCTGCAGAGTATTATGCTGAGAAAAATAAGCAAGTCAGAGAAATATAAGTATCACATGATCTCACTCATATGTGGAATTTAATGAACCAAATAAACTGATGATCAAAAATAGAAGCAAGAAGAGACTTAAACCTCAGAGGGAAGGCAGGGAAAGATGGGTGGGAAGAAATCAGCCAATGAACTTGTATGAATATATGCATGACCCATGGATAGAGACAATAGGGTGGTGAGGGTCTGGGGTGGGAGGAGGATGGAAGCGGGCTGGAAGAGGTTTATGGGAGGGAGGGGAAGAGAACCTATGTAATACTTTCAACAATAAATATTTAAAAATAAAATACTGTGGTCTTTTCACAACAGTATTATGCAACTAGGTTAATAATAAGTTACAGGCATGAACATTTCCATCTATAGTTATTTAATTACATGTACAGAAATAGTAAATACAATATTAAGTGGGGTTTATTTCTACACTATAGGATTCATCCTCCTGAGTTCTCACATTTTAGACTAAACAGAATCATAAAGACTAGAAGAAATTTTAAGTTACAGAAATAATAGGGGGAAGCATTGGAGTTTAAAGGGAAGGGAAAGAGTCAAGAAATTGTTTCAGAATTAAAATCACCTTTCTCCTTTTTTTAGAATCATATATGAGTGTTGATTTCAATAATGCTGGCAGTATGAGAGAACAAAAGATCATCACAAAAATCTGCTCTTTACTTTTCTCCTTGAACTTATGTCTCTGAGCTATGAGTTTCAACCCAAGTTCCCATTACCTGATTTTTAAGTCATTCTGTTTTAAGAATTCAGAGATCTAGTTGTCCTTATTACCATCCTTTCTTCAGTAACCTCTGGATTCCTTGCTTTATCTCCTGGGTTCGCACTCCATAAACAATAGGGTTGAGGGCTGCAGGGATGACATGATGAAGGACATTGAGCAAGACTGGAACATCAGGGGAGACCTTCTTCTTAGCCACATGAGTGAGTACAAAGACAAGAAGGATGGTACTGAAGAAGAGGATAAGGATGAAGTGAGAACCACATGTGCTTAGGGCCTTGGTCATGGCACCCACTGCCTTGAGTCTCAGCACAGCTCGCAGTATGAAAGTGTAGGAGAGGAAGATGAGGATGAGGTCTGATCCTAGCAGAGTCCAGCCTCCAGCAAATTGGTAGAGACGATTGATGGTGATGTCATCACAGGAGAGCCTGGAGACTGACATATTGGCACAGATGCAGTTCTCGATGACAGTTCTCCCACAATAATGGAGTTGGACGGAGAGAATGGGTATGGGCACTGTAAGAAGGACATTTCTGACCAAAATAAAAATGGCAGCCTTAGCTACAAATTGATCAGTGATGATGGATGGGTATCGTAGAGGGTGGCAGATGGCTACATAGCGGTCATAGGCCATGACCATGAATGTGCAGGACTCCATGGCAAAGAAGCAATTCATTATGAACATCTGAAGGAAGCAAGCAGAGAAGCTGATGGGCTTGAGGTCAAACCAGAAGATGGCCAGGACCTTGGGGATGACAGTAAGGCAGAGCACAATGTCCAGCAGTGAGAGCAGGCTGAGCAGGTAGTACATGGGTTCGTGCAGAGATGTCTCTAGCCAGATGGTGATTAGTAGAATACCATTGGCCCCCATGGCCAGGAGGAAGAGGAGGCTGAGGGGCAGGGACAGCCAGTGCTGCCAACTGGTTGACCTGACAAAACAATTCAGGAGAAAGTCTGAAACCTCAATAGAGGTGGTTTCATTTTGGTGTGCTGTCATATTTTGTCATATATTTCTATAGCTTCATTTTAGTGATCTGTAAAATTAAGATATAATTAGCTTCTACTCAAAATATATGAAGACACACTTTGCTCTACCTAGATTAACTAGTGGATCCTCTCGGTTATCCAGAGGCAACTGAATTTTTCTGTATGTGCCATGCTATATAGAGAGTACTGAAGTAATATGATTTATACAGATTTGTTTTGTTTAAGGTTTATTTTGAATAGATTATTATGTCTTCACAGTAAAGAATAGGAGAAAATTACTTAGAAATCTACTTTGTGACAAGTGAGTCTCTAAATTTGTATTTATAAGTTTGTTTCCTTTTATAATAGCCAAAATTATATATATATAATTCAACCATAATGATATACCCAAGTAACCCTGGCAAAAACTAGGGACTCAGATAAATTCCCCTAGACCTCCATGCCATCCCTATTCTGACCTTTCAGTAGTATTTATTTTGCTTTAACTAGAGATTTTTAAAATTATACACTGAAAATAAAAATCTGCATGTTTTCTCTTAAGTCATTTTAATTTGATAGGTATGGACCCTGCTCAAAAAAATTACTTTTATTCTATTTCTCATGTCTTCATATTTGTAGAATTCTTAACTTCTGGAAGAAATGGCCTTAAAAGGAAAATTAGCAATGTCACAGGAGTGACACCTGTCATTAAACAAGATGAAAAGTTGATTCTTCTGATTGAAATAGTGTGAGAGTGATGAAGTCCACTTTTAAAGTCCTTCCATCTCCTTTCTATTGCCCTTTCCATCTTCAATATAATGATCCGGGTACACACTCTCCCCTCCCAGGCACTAGTGCAATGTTGCCATTATCATTCAACCTTTCCCCCAGCATTCTTCCAGGTACTAGGCCTGCAGCCGTGGGCAAACTACGGCCGCGGGCCGGATCCGGGCCGTTTGAAATGAATAAAACTAAAAAAAAAAAAAGACCGTACCCTTTTATGTAATGATGTTTACTTTGAATTTATATTAGTTCACACAAACACTCCATCCATGCTTTTGTTCCGGCCCTCCAGTCCAGTTTAAGAACCCATTGTGGCCCTCGAGTCAAAAAGTTTGCCCACCCCTGGTGGGTCACAGCATTAAATAAGAAATTGTCCGTATTCTCTAAAATGAATGCAATCCTGGAGACATTGGATAATAATACCAAGTAATGTGAGCAATGCCAGGGTCTTTCACCAACTATTATGAGACTTGACTAACTCTGACATATGGAATAGGCTGGAGAAAAAGAATTATAAAATAAAGCAATGTGGTGCTCTCATTTACATTAAAGAAAAAGTATTCTACTAAGGTTCTTTCTTAAGTGTCATTTTAGACAATATCAACTGGATCCAGCAACAGGTAATTTTGATATCCTGGGCATAATTTTCTGTTTATAGCAGCAGTAGCTTTTAGAAATTCTTTAGCATCAGCTGAAATCTGAAGTACTACTTTCTAATCCCCACTTGCCACCAATTGTGTTCTTTGTTCTCAACCTCTGAAGTTATATAGAATAAATTTAATTCCTACCTTATGATTTAAACATTGTGGACAGGTTTTTCTTCCTAAATCCCCTAAATCTTTATATTCGTTGTTAAAAACCCAATTTTCACTTCAATGCACTTCCTAGCTCTTTCATGCCCATTAACCTCCTATGGACAAACCCCGGCCTCTCTGTATCTGTCACTATCAAACAAAAGAGCAGAGAAGGCAAAAGGAGGACAAAAGAGAAGTTTCCAGAGCACAGGGCCTCACATGTGCGCCCTGACCTGAGACAGGCCAGTCCCTGCTACCCCATCTTTGGACTACTTCAGCTTTACTGACTCAGGAATGAACAGAAGCACAGACCTGGGCTGAAGAAATGGGTCTCTCCTGTCTTGTGGATAATCTTGGTCTAGCTGCCTCTCAGACACACATAGGACATGAATTGTGGAGTCTGGTTCCACTGACATTTGTGCTCTGATTAATTCCTCAAATATTAGGGGTAATTATAACTCTAGAGCTTAAGGGACTCTGCCCTCTGGGAACTTCTCCATACCTACTTCCTTGGGCCCAAAAGGCCATTTCAGAATAGACAGGCAGCCAGATGAGAAAATGATGTTATAGGTTTTTATTTTTTTTCTTAAAAGACCTTTGGTATTCCAGCCTTACATTGACAGTGTGTAATGTAGGCAACAAATCAGTCTCCTGGGTATAGGGATCTACAAATATTCACACATGTTCATACTCATTTGCACCTGCACATTTGGCACCCTCCATGAATCCAAAGGCTCACTCAGAAGTCCTTCTGAGCTTCTGCACATGTTTTTTAGATAGGTACATTCCAAACCATGATACTGAATGGATCATTGTTAACTTATTGTAACACTAGAAGCCCGATGCACGGATTCATGCACTGGTGAGGTCCCTCAGCCTGGCCTGCACCCTCTTGCAATCCGGGATCCCGCCCTCAGGAGATGTCAGATAGCTGGTTTCTGCCTGATCCCCACAGGCCCAATCCAGACAAAAGAGAGCCTGATCCTGTGCATTGAAAGTCTGTCCCCTGTTGGTCAGTGCACATCATAGCAATCAGTCGACAGGTTGTTCAGTTGTTCAGTGCTTAGACTTTTATATATATAGATAGATTACAGTGATAAAATGCAGGGAATTTTTAAATGGAATATTACTGAGGAAATGCAATGTGTTTTTCAGAGAGAGAATCCTACAATAATTTTTGCCATAGTGAAAGATTTTTAAACAGGATAGAATATACAACTGGTTATTACAAAACATGATTTGTTCCTTTATTTTTTAAATTTTCTTTTTTGACCTTATGTGAATTATTCACATTCCTCGTGTTATGGAAATAAGTGTCATCAGTTTCTTTAAAGCCCTTCTTTTGCTTTATTTTTCTTTCTTCTGCATATCTCGACCTTGCTCCTATTTCTTTTCCCTTTAGGAAAGTGAAAACTCTAGTGTACTTAAAATGTGTCTTTCTAATGAATCTCCAGTATGCTTATTTAGCTGTATGTTCATTTATGGGAGAATTTTTATATAATTATATTACTTTTATTTATTATTTATTTATTTAATTTATATAAATGTCATAGACTTATAAATCTGATGTAATTATTTTTAATCAACTCTAATTTTTTAAAAATCTATACATATTGCTATGTGTAAGTCAACTTAATTATTTTTTCACTGCTGTTTAATTTTTATTATGTGCATTATTCTTTATTATATATGTAGCCAACACCTACAGTGACCTATAATTAATTGCTACCAAAAATAATGCTACTGTCAAAATCCTTATACATCTTTCTTTATGGACCTATTTTAAAAATGTATGTGCAGAAATTTTTTCCAGTATGGCATATAATCATATTTAATTTCACTAGAAATAACCAAATTTTTCTCCAAAATATTTACTAAATCTCACTAGAAATTACTTAAGTTTTCTTTATTTTTCACATTCTGTACACTATTTGATGCTTTTTTTTATAAAATTCAATGGATGTAAAATAGTACCTCATGATTTTAATTTTATTTTCTTCTAATAACTGGGCAGTCTTTTTTTTTTTTAATATATTTTATTGATTTTTTTACAGAGAAGAAGGGAGAAGGATAGAGAGTTAGAAACATCGATGAGAGAGATCGATCAGCTGCCTCCTGCACGCCCCCTACTGGGGATGTGCCCGCAACCAAGGTACATGCCCTTGACCGGAATCGAACCCGGGACCCCTCAGTCCGCAGGCCGACGCTCTATCCACTGAGCCAAACCGGTTCGGCAACTGGGCATTCTTTATATGCCGTTTATCCACTTGTTTTTATGCTGTGAATTACATATTCACATCTTTTGCCTTTTTCTATTAATTCTTTGTTTTTCTTGCATATTTACAAAATTTCCTTGCATGTTTTAAATATTAGAGCCCCTTATTGGCTAGATACTGATAATATTTCTTCAATTCTATGGTATATCTGTCCATTATTCCACAGAAATCTTCCAATTTGGTTAAGTCAAACTCTCTATTTTCCTTTTCTTTAAAAAATTTTTATTAAATGTATTGGGATGACATTGGTTAATAAAATTATATAGGTTTCAAGTATATAATTCTATAATACATCATCTGTATATTACATTGTGTGTTCACACCCAAAGTCAAATCTGTTTTCGTCACCATATATTTAACTCCATTTATCCTTTGCTACCTCCCTAGCCCCTCTTTCTCTCTGGTAGCCACCATACTGTTACCTGTGTCTATAAGGTTTTTGGGGTTGTTTGTTTGTTTGTTTGTTAATCCTCACCCAAGGATATTTTTCCATTGATTTTTAGGAAGAGTGGAAGAGAGAGGGAAAGACAGAGAGAAACATCAATGTTGGATAAACACATTGATTAGTTGCTTCCTGCAGGAGCCCCAAGCAGGGCCATGGCTGGGGAGGAACCTTCAACCAAGATACATGCCCTTGACCAGAATCGAACCCGAGACTCTTTGGTCTGCAGGCCAACATTCTATCCACTGAGCCAAACCAGCTAGGGCTATGAGTTTTTGTTTGTCTGTTTGTCTTGTTGGTTTATTTGTTGCTCTCGGTTTTGTCTCACATATGAGTTCTTGACTTTCTTCTATCTTATTTTGCTTAGTATGATATTCTCCAGATCCATCCATTTTGTCACAAATGGCAGTATTTCATCTCTTCTTATGGCTGAGTAATATTCCATAGTATCAATGTGCCACATCTTCCTTACCCAATCCTTTTTCAAGAGACACTTTGGCTATTCCCATCTATTAGCCACTGTGAATAATGCTTCAATGAATACAGGGGTCTATATATCTTTATGAATAAATATTTTCAAATTTTTTATTAAATACCCAGAAGAGAGTTTGCTGGTCATATGGTAACTCTGTTCCTAATTTTTTGAGTAACCTTCACACTGTTTTCCACAGTGGCTGCACCAGTTTACATTCCCACCAGCAGTGAATGAGGGTTCCTTTTTCTCCACACCCTCTCC